GAGAATCCTTTTTTGCTTGTGTTAACCCACTAGACAGAAATCCCAAGCTAAGATAATATCACAATTGCTTCACAAGGAGATCAGAAGGAAGCTGGCGGCAAAGGAGGGGAAGAATCTATTTCTAAAGGAAAGCCATTTGCAGCAGGACACAGAGAAAAAGGGTGTTTAGCTCTTCCAAAGGATTTGGTCTAAATCCAAATAACTCATACATGACCAGGAAATGCAGGTAAATTCATCTGTTGCACTGTTGCTAGGATTACATTAAAAAACAAGTGATGGGATTTTAGGAGCCTTGCAAATGTCTTAGCCCTGTCTGCTTTGGTTTCAGCGTGTACTTAAATCTGTGTATTACAAAGCCCAGTGGAGCACATACTGCTCTGTGGACTGGTGTGCAGCAAGCTATCAGGTCAGTGAGCCTGTGCTGAAAGAACATCCCAGCACCATGTTCCACACAACCCATACGCAGGAGCCACAGAAGAGAGCATCCAGCTGTCAAAACCTAAGCAGAGAATGTGACACGTTTGCAAGGAAAAGGCAAAGAATAAAGGGAAAAAACATGACCCATACTCATGCCACAAGAAGCACTCATGCTTCTAGCTAAGGCCTGAGAAAGGTCAGGATTCAGTATTAATGAAATCCTTCTCCAGCTGAAGCACTGGAGAAGGAGGTTAGAGAAGGGCAAGTAAAATGAAAATAAATCAACGAACTTACATAGCAATAAATCTGCACTTTCTACAGTTTAGTAGTGGATTTTTCTATGAATAGACGAGCATGAAGCATGAGAGGATGAAGAATGGATGGGTCACAAGACTTGTCTTCTTCCATAAACTTTCACAGCTCCAGGTTTAAGTGCATCCTCCACTCACCTTGTGATAACTACTGAACAGGAAGCAAACGTGAACAGCATAAGCATGCATTCCATTTTGTCCAGGTAAAGACACACAGGCATGTCTTTAGGGAGGGCAAAGGGCAGAGCAGGTTATAGTAGGAAAATAACCCCCCTCACATGTGTTTTTTCTCTCCATCTCTCTAGCAGCATGGGTCAGGTATGACCAGGTGGTCCCAGCACATGACACACACACCAGGGGACTGTACAGACTCTCAGCATTGGCCTACCTATGCTTGCACTGAAGTTGTCCCCTCCCAACTTCAATGACAGTTGAGTTAGGTCAGTATAAAAATGCTTGTGGACACATCACTTGCAGCATAGTTTCTTCTCATCCCCCAAAACCCCTCCAGCAGCATAGTTTTCCTTTCTGCCCCCAGATGAACATTCGTGGTGCTCTCTGATATTCCTGCAAAAATAAATCATTCCCCCAGCCCAAACCTGTGCAATAGGTACCTTTAGTCTTCCCACCACACCACTGCCAGTTGTCCCAACAGTATCTTGTGCTTCAGACCAGCTTCACTGTTGAATCTCAAATTCAAAAGTAGTGCGTGAAATTTTGTTGTTTTCATAACTTTATGTTAATCACAGAATTGCTGAATGGTTGAAGCTGGAAGGGACACTTGTAGCAAGCTAGTCACCAAGAAACATTTCCAGTCATCTCTTTTCCAGCACAAACTGCAAGTTTCTATGGCTATATTCCACAGGAAAAAAAAAAAAAAAAAGGAAAAGGAAAAAAAAGAAAAAGAAGAAAAAAAATCCGATTTCATGAGTAGATTAAATACTTCAAAGTCTAAAACTATCAAGCCATCACTAACACATGCAATAATATGAGCATGCTGTATACCCAACAACCAAATTTTGTTTGTTCCTCCAAGAACCTATCCATTCCTCAGCACCCAGTCTTCATTCAAACCCATTTTTAAGTTTATGGTGCTGCATATGTTTTCCTGCCCATTATAGCAAACACTGACCCTCATTTACTGCAGAGTCATCCAAATCCCTTACCTTCAACAGCTACTCTGCAAAGCTGCTGCTTGTGCACCTTGATAATAAACTGAGCATCCATTTCTTCAACAGAGTCTATGAAATCTTTTTTAGTAAATCACTGTTATAAGTTTTGTTCGTATTACAGAAGGAATCATCTTTTGTACTGAGGGGAAGGAGTTTGGGGAGTGAAATCTAGATCTGGAGCTATACTATTTCTCTGCACAGTTAAATATAATCAGGGATTTAATGAAAAAAAAAAAAAAAAACAAAACCCAAAACCCAAAAACACAGCTCACAACAAACCATACCATTAATAATTTAAGTGATCACCATGCTCATTCTTCTTTATATCTTATGTCACTTAAATCCCAGCCTTTTCACATTCCCATTGTTATAGGTGGCTCCAAAACACACGTTATGCTTCGTCCTCCTGCTTTCTGTCCCAGCCTTGTACCTCCTCAAGAGTGTTGCACACAGCCACCCATTTATCTTCCCCTTTTACCACCTCACTGCCCTTTGAAGGTGGTCAGAACTTCCTGTGACCTCCCCTTTCACTCCCCCCAAATTTCCATTTATATCTAGATCTTTGCAAGCCCAACATAATCTAATGGGCAGGAGAAGGCCTGAGCCCAGATTGTTTAACAATGCCTTGAGGGGCTTATTCACCAAAGTTTGATGCTATGACAAACAGCTTGCAGCAGCTCTGAGGGTAAGGCATATAAAATGCATCATACATTAAATTTAATGTTGCCTCATTAGTCTTAATTAGATTCCTACATTACACCAGGATTATAGTTTCTTCATGTTTATGTTTGCTCTTAAAATAAAGTCTACACTAGACAACAGTTGAGTACTTTTTAACCTTTGAATAAATATGTCCTGAATTGCTACCTACCAATATTCTTAACATTGAAGAAACAGAAATTAGCTGGTCTTACAACTGGCTTTTGGACAAAGAAGGTACGTAGTGTCGGTCACAAAGGAATAAATTTCAAGAAATAAAATAGTATGAGAACATTAGAAATTACTCCTCCTGTGTTTTAAAGAGATAAGCAGTAAAGTGGAAGGACTGGTTGTTCCAAAGAAGTGGATGGTTTTGTATACCTATGGATTCTTTGGTAACTTGCTCTCTTACTAATTAATATTGTCTTCTGGACCAGGTTTTTCACAGTTTACTTTCAGCTGCAAAATCTGTTTTAAGATGATGCCACTAATTCAGCTTTGGAGGTAGGATGGAAGTTGATGTAAGAGTAGAGCACATCCCATAATTAGATAAAATGACCTATGCCAGGACCACAGCATGCCAGAGACCAGAAGTGCACACAATGATGATGAGGCTTTGAGCAACCTGGTCTGGTTTTTTGTTAAACTAGTGTCCCTTCCTGTGGCAGTGGGGTTGGAGCTAGATGATCTTTAAAGTCCCTTCCAACCCAATCCGTTCTATGATATGATTTCATGACCCAAATAATACTTTTCCCTATTGACAAAAAAATCGCACAGGTCCAGAAATGGAGCTGCTGAAGCAAAAACCTTTTTGTCATCAAAGGAAAGAAACCACACATTCCTGGATTCCCTGAATCACCCACCTGGTTCCTGCTGTGTCTCCTCATGGTGGTGATCTGACCCCAAAGTCAGCACTTCTCCCCCACATCTGCACTACCTCCCAGCATCCAATACTATCCACAGAAACTGCAGTCTGATTGCAATTCAAATAACTGGTCTTGTACAGCTGACCTATCTGAAATGGCATTTGTATTTAAAATAAATTCCTATAGATTGTGGGGTCTATTTTATGATAAAACAGTGCAATCTAGAAGATTAAACCAAATGGACTTTTTTTTTTCCATAAAACTTTTTTTGTTTAAATAAGAAAAGGTCTACTTACATCATGATTGCTTGTGGAATCAGGTTTATTTTTTTCAATTTTTTTTTTCCAAGCTTGTAATAAATTCCTGGAGTACCCCATCTTAACAACAGTTTTATATTTTAAAAAGGTTGGGAAAAGTTGCAATTCTGTTCTTTCAAACTAAAGCTTGATTGTTTTAAACATTAAAAGGATGATAAATGGTTGACAAAATGTTGTCATTCTTAATATTTTGGCCCAGATCTTGCCATGAAATAGTTCAGCCTCTTGAAAATATTTCTCACCCAGAACAGAATGCAATTCATACATGTCTATCTATTCCTTGCCAACTGACTTATCCAAGCACACACATTAGTATAGAAAAAAGTAAAACCAATTAGCATTATTACCTGTTAGTGTTCTGCTGATATTTTTAAGATCATTTCCTTTCATGTCCCATACCAATAATTTGATAAAATTTAATAAAATTAAATTATATTCAAATCTGCATGTGTCCAGTCTTACTTCTTAATTAGAATTTGAAGAATATTATTAAAAAGTGCAATTCTATATATTTAATTTGTTTTAGAGTTTAAGAAAATGTTCAGAAACATTTGCAAAAAGCTGAGCTTTGAGGTGATCTCACATTGAAATGTACATATTCCAGTGGTCACAACAGGTACACTAAAGTAACATTATTTCCTCTGAGATAAAACAAGCTGACTTAGGCTTTGAAAAATCATTTTCTTAGCTCAGGAAATGGGGAAATACTTATGAAAATTTTCAAGAACTATCTGGAGTGATAAGTAGATCAAAGTCTAAATATTTGTATCACAGACAATACTGAAAGAGTAATTTAAATGACTAAGATTTGACAGCATCCATCCCCTAGCACATTAGAGTGCATACATACTGACTTTTTTAAACTTGAGTTTAAACTTTACATCTATCTGCACTACAGTAGCACATTTTCCTTAGGACTGACATCTTGGGAAAGGCCTATGCAACTCAAAAAGGAAACGGTTTACGTTTTCTAAAATCCCCTAATCCTTCCTTTTTGCAGTCTCTCCGTAAGTTGATACCTTTTCCTGAGGGGATAAAAAGCTTAGTGGTTTCTTTAGTTCTTTTAGGGCTTTTTTGTATTGTATTTACCAGTAAGGAAAGAAGAAAAGAACCAGGTAACTCCTGACAAACTGCAACTACAGAACGGCTTAAGTCCCAAACAAACAAAACCCCCAGAAATACACAAAACTCCTACCATTATTCACTATGCGTTTTGAGAATTTTTCAGTAAATATGGATTGCTGATGGATTCACAGGAGGAGAGATGACTGGATGCACAAGTACATATCTTTAATATATAACATCATGTATAATTACAATACAGTGAGGAGTACCTGAAACAAATAGGGAGAAGAGGGAAAAACAGCAATAAGTAAATGATGAGTTGACATATATACAAAATAAGATATGAAAGTGTAAACCCAAATCATAAAATCATAGGATGATTTGAGTTGGAAGGAACCTTTAAGATCATTTCGTCCCAGCCCCACTGCCACTGGCAGGGACACCTTCCACTAGACCAGGTTACTCAAAGTCATTCAACCTGGCCTTGAACACTTTCAGAGATGGAGCATCCACAGCTTCTCTGAGCAACCTGTTCCAGTGCCTCACCATCCTCACAGTGAAGAACTTCTTCCTCATATCTAATGTAAATCTAATACCACAAAGTATTTTAGAGCTGGTAAAACTTAACAGGATTCATTCTTTTGTCAAAAGAATCAAGAAATGTCATCTTCGTCTCTTGCATGGATTTGCTGCAAAGCAGGATGCATCCAGGCAGGACACATCCACCTCCCTTGACTTTGGCTAATACAACCTCCAGGAAAAAAATAATAGACATTGTCGAAAGGTTGAGACTTATTATTGTCTTTTTATTTCCTCGTTGTGGTGGGTTGCTGGCAGCAAGGACAACCAGCCACACTGCTCTTCACTGGGAAAGGCTCCCAGCATGGCTGGAACTGGATCCATAGGAGAAGGGGAGCGTGTGAACACCAGACACCCCGTACTGCAGACCAGACCTCCAGATGTTGGAAGAAAAGCAGCACTGCTTGGCAAGTGAGGGAGGAGGCGGTGAAGAGGGTGATCGTGTCACTAGGAACTTCTCTGCTCTGCAGAGCTGGCAGGAGATGAGAGGCATGTTGTACTCTGCAAAGAGCTGCAGCAACTTCCTTCAGAGAAACGGGGAACTTGGTAAAGAGCGGCTGCACTCTAAATCACAGATTCAAGGCTTCTTCAGGTGAGGCACAGCTGAGAAATGCTTTACACACTGGGATAGTATAAGCCAGAGTCCGGTCTGCCACATCACCATCACACTCCACCTCCAGTTGGATCACAGCTTTTTTGTTCTACTGGATGTGGGTGGGGGTGATCTATTGCCTTCCTCTTGGGTTTCATTTGCGGCACAAGGAAAGCTCTGAGATATTACCCAGAAAAGGATTAATTAATTTATTCTGTCTTTCCAAAGAAGGTTTGAATGTTTCAGGAACCAGCCATCCTCTTTGCATGCAGATTGGCTCTTCTGGCAAGAGTGCCTCAGCCCAACTTGGTTTGAGTAACAAAAGTTAATTTTATTGATGCTCAGCTTTCTGTGATGCTAGGTAGGAGGTCCAATGATGCAAATCAAATGGCTGCTCCAAAAATACCACAGTGATTGATAACAAGGCAGTGATGCAGATTTTTGACACTTTTGATCCTACCAGAAGCAAATGCTAAATTTAGACATGAGAATTTAAAAAACTAATGCCATGTTGCTTTAAAAATGATCAGTGAAAAACATGCATAGTTTAACGAAGGCTAATGTTATTCAATGAAGATTTTTTTTAACCCAAAACAAAAATATAGCAAGCAGGATTAAAACAAAAAGAGGAGAGAGGGAGGAGGAAGGAATTAAATTGAAACAAATCTAGGTATAGAAACATGTCAAATATGGCGTTAAAGTTTAATTTCACTTTTAATGAAGAGGTCATATACTGCAATTTGATTTGACTACTGTGTATTACTATATACATATGGATACATGTCAACTATTATGTTAGGTGTATAACTGACCTACCTGGAAGCACTTGAAAAATGAATATTATTGACACATACAAGAAAAGCCTTTCTCATATGTCTATAATCATGTATGTTCATTAACTAATTATAGTAAATTATTATGTGCTTTTTCAAGACATCTTATGTTACAATGGTGTCATTTTCACTTTGATCATCTAAAGGTCTCACAGGATGACGTTTTCAACCAAACGAGGCATCTCTGTACATGTGGCATGAACATGTACTAGAGACTCAGAAGTGTTAAAAAAGAAAACCCACAACCTGTATTTCAACAGTTTGCAAGATACAAAAATTATGTAACTCAAAAATAACATCCCACAAATTAGACAGAAATACTCAGGTAACGTTGTTTTTAATAGTGGATAAACACCAAAAGGAGATGATATTCATTTTGTCATATAATATTTGACCATTAAATGTTTTACTAGGTTGTATCATGCTCAATCTATGCAACCATATGAAAAACATATTCTTAACAAGCAACCTAAAAATGTTCTCAAAAGTCTCGACTTTCAGCACTACCTGCTATTGCATTTATACAGTGAGAAACTAAATATGTTTATTAAAAAAATAGAAGTACCATTACCATAATGCAGTATTTCCTTTCCCCTTAGTCTAATGGTCACTGCAAGAAATGTTGTGAACCTAAGCATTAGATAGAGTCTGATTTTACAGAACCAAGGTTTACAACTTCATCACTGTTCATTTCTGCCTTCTGTTGCACCTTTCATAAACCTACTGATTAATATCAAACAGTGAACAACTCTGACAAGCAGGATTACTAATCCAACATAACTGTTTATAGTGTGAATGAAAAAAGCACTCCATTTCCAGCCACTGTACTTAATAATAAATTCCCGATGTACTTAAATGTTGAAGGGATTACATAACTGTCAAAGTTCCTTTAAATGTTAAGGGTAGTAATCATATTAAAGACATACTATACAGAAGCAAAAGCAAACGTCAGTTTAGTTATTATTACCATATTTGAATAGAGGTTTAAAATATAAGGCCAGATTCATAAACACATTGAATTTGTGCTCATTACAGCTGAAGAGAGCAAAGAGGACAAGAAGCTTCAAACCCCCCTAGTCACATTGCAGTTGTGGGCCATATAAAGGTCAGAAAAAGGAGCGTCATGTACTGTAGCATAGGCATGGGGCTGTTCTTGATTAGACCAGCTGAAACAGTACCTCCAGGACAGTTATGCCAGACAGACGAAGGGGAATACCACACATACCTCCTCCCTCTCTCCCTCTTCCACTGTGCGTACTTGATACAAGAAAGCTGTTAAATTGGCTCAATACCATCCTAGGACAGTTCTGAAGCACCCACTTAAGACATGCTTATGACAACTGTGACCCTCTTGGGTATCCTAAGACAGTGATAGCCAGGAATCTGGTGCAAACAAAATCAAATATTCATACGCTTATACATGTGGTCGTCTGATACTTCTTCTCTGACCTATGCCATTGGTTTTATCACTTCATATTAAACACCCAAGTCAATTAGTGTCTTATTAACAAGCAACATTACAAATTGTCAAACATGTCCAGTGAATATTCTGATAAATTAACCTGTAACAAAAACTGAACAAAAACGAGTATAAAAAAAAAAAAACAAACACAAACCCAAGAAACAAACAAATCCCCAAAGCAGCAAAGACCTAGATCTTGAGTTGTGCTCTATATTTACCTTCTTCACTGCACTAGAGTCATCTGCAGGATTAAAACCTGAACCTGGCGCCTCCCCACACTATGATTATTGGCAAAGAAACAATTCTTCAACTGATTCCAGTACTCTTTTAAAGGACCAGGGTTATTCACACAGAACCACACCCCACATCCAGCAAGACAAGAGGAATGCTTCCCCATGGAAGTTATGTACATGCAATGAAACTCTTGTTCCCAAGTTAGAAATGGCACCCCATTATTAGCATTCCTGATATTCATAGTGCTGCTCACATTCCATAGACCCCAGCAGCATTCAGCCAGAGCCTCAATTAAAATATGTCTAATCATTACTTTTATATTATCATTAAATCAGTTAGTTTCAAAATTGCTCACCTGCAGAGTCCTGCTGCAGTGCTTGCTTTGGGAGGTAGGGCTATGGCTGTAGTCTCACCTGAAAAAATGGATGCCAGTGATGCTAGCTGGGGCTAACATCCTGGAAGAGCATCAGCTCTACAGCTGCACCGAAATCCATTCCTTCAGTGCTCACTGAATGGCACTACTGGAAGTCACCCTCTTACATGGTGCCCAAACTGCCAGCTTTGTCTTACAATAAATAGAATAATGAAAAGGCAAATAGGAGCAATGTTATTAATGCATTACACGCTAAGCTCCAAGTATAGTTACAACATACATGACACCTAAAAATTAGGTATTGTCTGGTAACCTGCTTACTGCTGGTAGAAATCAGTCTCCCATGACTTGAGAATCCCTGAGATGTTGAACGTTTCCCTTTACAAACTCAAAAATTCAAAACATTTGCCAAAAATATACATGTAAGAATAGAGATGTCCCTAGGTAGAATCTGGAGGTCAAATTGCTTTGAAACGTTGTGTCTTTTTTTAGATTAGTTATCACTATGGTAGTGATAAATATTTTGTGGAAAATATAAATAAAGCAGGCTGGATGATGCATACTCAGAATGGGTGTCACTACAGACTGACCTCCCTTCCATCCTTTCCCTTACCCTCCCACTTCCTTCTACTCTCCCAGTGAAATTTCTGGGAAGGATTTTTGCACAAATGTTTGTGTGGAAAGCACCAAGGGAGTCACATAGGTCCTAATGCATTTGATGACCTGCAGTGTGCTCCCTGTCACCATGGCTATCACACCTGGTACCTCTTCATGTCAAGCTGTTCCTTTACAGGAGATGGGGATAAAATTGGTTGTGCTTTTATTTCTCTGACCAGCTATCAACACAAACCACTTTCTTTAAATTAAGTTTTAGTTAGTGACCCTTTTTTAAATCTCTGGTTTGGTGTCTGTCCACAGAGAGAAGACCTCGTGGCTTAGGTCTTCTTTGATGGTTTTCTGAGGGTTAGAAAGGTTCAGAGAGGGAACTCCACACTCCTTCACTGGTTCCTGAGGTCTCCCTGGCCCACTGACATTTACCATCTAATGCTTGATGACAGGGCAATGGAGACTGCATGTTTCAGCTGCATTTCTAACACTATCAAAGCCCCTCTCCCTTGTAACTGAACTGTTCTAATTATGCACATTTCCTTTTGCTGTATTCCTCAAGGTCTTGTCTCACCAAATGATGTAACTCT